GTAGATATTGCAGAAGATTGTGGAAGTCTGACTCCCAGTTAAGGTTGACAGGAGACAGAGGATGCATTTTTGCAACTTACACAGTGAGTTCTAAATACACACTGCTTTTGGGGGAGAGCGTTTGAAGGAAAAGTGAGAAAAAAATGAATTTCCTTCTTATTGAAGCAAAAGCTATGTGCGTTATCCCTCTAAATTAAACCCCCCCAACCCTCCCAAGTTTCCTGTCCCCATCTTAGCTGTTGTTGTGTACCTTCTGTTTTATTACTTTTTGTGTTAAGATACATTTTCCAAGTCACTCTATGAAGCCGAAGAGGGGATCAGAGTAGGAGGAAGGAGATACCATTAGTGGTTTCCTACATTTACTGCTTTGCCAGTTATCTTCCCTTCTTAGTTCCATGAAAAATGATTAGTAGAAAAAACATTCCTTAGCAATTGTAAATACAGTCCCTAAAACTATTTTTAAGCTGCTAAGAAGCATGAAAATATGCATTAAGTCACATGGTTAGTATCTCAAATAATTCAGGGAAGTTTCTCTCCTTAAAAACCAAATGAAACAGACTCTGATGAGAACTGAAATCACCTGCTTTCCCTTGCACTATTTGGTGTAGTTTCATGGATTTGACTGATTTGACAAGCATAAGCAATTGCTGATTTTTATTCATGCTAGTTAAAAATGTTAGTAGAAAATAGGTGGTTAAAAAGGAATGGGAGTCGATTAGCTTGGGAAAGTGGTTGTAAACTGGATATACAAATGGAATTAATTAAATTAGAAAACCAGTCAGAATATTAACACTGAATATTTGAAGTTTTGAGAAATGGGTCCAAGTCCCTTGGAAAGAGGTTAAAAGCGTGGATGGTATTGTCTTCGGGGACAGCAATAAAGACAGAAGAGGTACAAGAAAACTACTTCATTATATTTTTGCAACATGAGAATAAAAGCAACTTTTCCCTAGTCTTTAAACCTCCAGGTGCTATTTATTCATGTCTAAGCTTAGAGTATTATTTTCTGCTTTCAAGTTAGCTGTACACAGCACATTAATCTCAGAATCTACTCTTCCAAGTATTACACAAGGTGACGACTTACAGAAAAACAAAAAAATCCTTTCTGTTCACAAGCTTGGGTTCCTTGGCTCACAAGGCCACATTTAAGGGCGCTTTGTTTCAGAGGATGATCAGAACGGCACCCATGGCACTGATTATAGGGGATCTATTTGTACTGCTCCAGTCTGGTCACTGCATTATATTGAAACTTCCATTTTGGGGTATGTAGACTAAAAATTCTCTCCTAGCTTGAACTTGGCATCCACCATACATCTCAGCAGCAACAAGATTCCTGAGTACAGAACCACAGGAACCTGGCATTTTTCTTCTTTTATACTTCTACAGGAAAAAAAGAAACCCAACTATACCACCGATAGTTCCTCCATCCTTACACAGAAATTTCAAGAACTGCAAATTCTTTCCCAAAATATAATCAGAAGTTGCTTTGACTGGATTAAGTTAAATCAGATGTGACAGGTGATTGTCTCATACATTAATAGATCCCACATTTTCTTAGAATGAAATAATTTCAGCTTCTTTTTAGAAGATGCAGAAAATGATGAAGCCCAGATTTGTTCCAGAAAATAGCACTTTTGACTGTGGTTTCTCTAGAGCTCTTCCACTTCCAACAGTTCACCACTTAAAACTGAATTTCTCTAGAGCATGTCCAACTTGGTGAATATTCAGAGTTCAGTTCTACAAAAGCCACTAAGCATAGACTTCACCCAAAAGTTGACAGGTCCACGGAGTCATGAGAGGAATGGAAGACAGGCAAAAAGTGCAGATGAACTGATCTAAATTTGTCACAACTCAAAGCACAAGGTCATGCTCAGGCAGGTTACCACCACCATCTCTACATAGTCCTGTCATAGTGACATGTCCCTATTTTACCCATGGCTAGGATAGCCATATTTTGTAGACATATAAACCCAAATGAACTGGGTATAAATAACTGGTCACGCATCACTTCAGAAAACTTTTAACCACTTTACCCATGTAAACAAAGGGGCAGTATGTATATGGTCTTACATTATTTCTGTAAGTTATAAAAAATAACATCTGACTGCTTATTGGGCATCTACTATTTGCCAGGCACTATGCTAAGTGTTTTACATGCACTATCATATGTAACTCTTAAAAATGCCTTAAAGTTAGTCTTGTTATTGTCCCTACTTTACAGAAGAGGAAACTGTGTTTTGAGAAATTATTTGCCTAAGATCATGCAACTTGTAAATGATACAGGCAATAGAGCTGGTAAGGTAAGATTCACATATTTTTCTCCCATTGGAAAAAGGTGAAGAATTCGCTGCTGGTTAAGTTCTGAGATGTTCCTGAGAATCAGAACCAGGTCGGTCTGCAACTCTGGCCACCTGAATATGAGGTTGGCAACCTCTTCTTGGACAGAAAGTGTTTAAATGCTTTCTTTGCTCTGCCAATCACTTAGCTATCACCATGCTGCCTTCCTGCTTAGGAAAAGAATATCAAGAAAATTTCAAGACTTAAAGAGAAGTCTAACATAATTTTGATCAGAAAACAAAAAATAAATCAACCTTTATATTTAGCGCTCATGATTATTATGAAGCTGCAAGGAGGATAAAGTCTTGAAATAACTTGGAAGAGGGTGAGGGCAAGTTTTTATACTTTAAAATACATGGAACTACATACAAGTTTGGCTAGACAGTTTTGTAGACCTGGCCCCCCAAACAGGCTGATATATAAAAATAGGAAAAAGAAAAAAAAAAGGCGATCTGGTGGTCTCAGAATTTCCCATTATCAAACCTCCTCTCCTGTAAATCTGAATCCAATCCAAGACGTTATGTCAATATCTGGGTTCAGATTGGGTTTATGATACAGTAACAGTACTGCGTAGGGGGCAAATATGCTTAAAATATGTCCATGCATGTTTAGGTCCAGCCAGTAATAGTATTTAATGCAAATAAAAGCGTGGAATATTCTGGTGACTGAGATTCCAGCACCCTGGATTCTGTCTGTGCAAGCAGGTACTGTACTGTTTCCCCCCTGCTGGCAGACCCTAGTCACTAAAAACCATGAGCCTCTGAGGCTCTATCACACATCTCCAGCAAGTATCTCTGGGGCTGGAAAGCAGTTAAGATCGAGACGGGGGAGAAATTGGGAAGAGTTAAGGAAACAAAAATTTTCATTATTCCAAAACCCATCTATTTCCCGAAGTGCCACCCAATGTGCTGACTTCCTAAAGACCCCTGCAAAATCTTGGTTCTTCCAAAACTAAACCCAGTTAGAGCTGAGACAAGGTGAGGTCAAAGACTGGTATGACCCATGAACCGTTTATCCAAAGGAGTCCAGGTCGTTTCTAGCCTCCCTCGTGGGGGCCGAGCCTCGCCACGAGGATGAAGACAGGAGGCATGGAGGAGGGAGTGAAGCGGGGAAGGGGAGGAAGGGGAATAAACCTCCGGCCACACTTCTTTCTAGTATCAACAAAAAGGGAAGCCGCATACGGACCTAAACCATCCCTCAAAGGCGCTTTATAAATTACAGGGACAAAGGGAGGGGGTGGCGGGTGGCCTGGGAATCCTGCAGACACGCTCCCCTCCGGCCCGCCCCCTCCCCCTCCGGCCCAAGGGAAGGAAGAACACAGCCCCACCGGGCCACCGGCGAGAAGCCCCCGCGGCTCTCACGCGCCCACCCACCGGCCCCCTCGGAAGAAAACGCGTCCCCACCATACCCACCCCCGGGGCGGGCACTCCAGCGCCGGAGGCCGGGGCATTTACTTAGTTAGATTTTTCTTGCTTACTCATTTCCCTCAAGCACCCAACCCCCCGTTCCCACTCGGAACCCCGCTCAGCCGCCTCCCCTCCCGGCTGCGGGCCCGGCGGGACCCGCGCCCCGCGGGCGGCAGCGGCCCCCGGGCCGTCCCGGCCACTAACCTGCTGCTGTAAGGGCATTTCCGAGCCCGGCCCGGCTCCGGGGGACGTGGGCGCGCAGCACGGGGGCCCGGAGGGCCGAGTGGGCCGGCGGCGCGGGGCGCGGGCGGGCGCCTGGGGGGGCGGCGGGGGAGCGCGGCCGGGCCGGGGCGGCTGCGAGGGCGCCGGGACCGTCCCAGGCAGGGAGCCGGCGAGCAGGAGGAAGTGGGTGCCCCTCTCCCCTCCAGCGCCCCCTCCCGCCGCCGCCTCCTCCCCAGTCACAGGCGCGTCCTCCGCGCACGTGTGCGAAACGTCACCGGCGGGTCCCGGGGAGAGGGACAGAGCCGGGCGGCGGGACGGGAGCCGGCTGCCCCCGCCCCCCGCCGCCGCCGGGGGCGGGGAGGGGGCCGGGCGGGCGGGGGCAGGGGAGAGGCGGGTCAAGGGCAGGCCCGGGGCCGGCGAGAAGGCCCGGCCGCTCGGCCACGCGGGCGCCGCCGCCAGGATGCGCCCAGGCCGGGGCGACCGGCGGCCCCCACCCGGCCCGCACGTCCCCGCCGGCCCCTTTGTTGCGGGGCGTCAGCGGCCCCACAACGGGTCGGGCGCAGCGGGGCAGGGTCCCCGCGCCCCGAGCACGCCTTAGACCCTGGGCCGCCACGGGCCCTCGGGGCCGGGGAGCGGCCACCCCGGCGGGTGCCCCCGGCGCCCGCAGCCCCCACTCCCCGGGGCGCTACTCCCTCCCCCACCCTTCTCCATCCGGGGCGTGACCCCTTCCTACGCCCGAAAGAGGAAGCCTCGCGCCGGAGGGGTGGGGAGGTGGGGGTAGGGAAAGTGCAGGGGAAGCAGGGGGGCCGCGAAAAGTTTCGGAGCCTGGGACGTGGTTCGCGCCGAGGCCACGCCGGCGCCCCGCGCGGCCCCCAGCCCTTCGGGCGACGTGGAGGGGGGCGCTCGCATCTAAGCAAACCCTCGCCGGAGGGGCAGCCGCCGTGGCCCGGAGGTCGGCCAGCGCCCCCCACGCGGCCCGCGCCGCGAGTCCCCCCCCCGCCTTGGCCGGGCGCGGTGGGGACGGGAGGGCATTACCGGAGGGCCGCCGCCGCCGCGTCCCGGCGCTGGCGGCCGCTGCAGCAGCGCGGCTCTGCCGGAGGGTCCGTGCGGCGTGGCGTAGAGGCTGCCGGCGGTGTGCTCCGCGCCGGGGGCACTGGGGAGGGGGCCGGCGGCGACCGCGCCGCCTTGGAGAGAGGAGGAGCAGGAGGTGGTGGACGCACTCGTGGTGAGGATCTGGATGTACGCGCCCGTGGGGGCGGCGGCGAAGCCGGGGCCGGCCAGCAGTGCCCTTTTGTCCATGGAGGCTGCGGCGGCGGCCGCCCCCTCCCCAGCCCCGGCGGTCACCAGGTACTGCTCCAGGGCGGGCTGGATCCCCTTTTTCATCTCGCTCCTGCTCTTTTTATTGCTATGGTATATTAATGTATTGTTTTCAATTTCTTTATTATTTGCAGTCGGAGTTTCCGAGTCTCCTCTCCTCCCCGCCCGGCGCTTCCGAGCCCCTTCTCCCTTAATTTTTCCGTACCGCACGGGCCCCGGGGGCCAAAAATAGTCGGGGCCCTGGAGAGAGGGGGGTCCCGGCAGCACGGATGTCGGGCCTCGAGGGGGGATGGAGGCGTCGGGGGCGGCCGATGCAACGGATTGCGAGACGGCGGCGGCAGCCTGGGTGCTGCGGCCGGCAGCTGAAAAATGGCTCCAGGAAGCTGCTGCTGACAATGAATGAAGGGATACGGTTTACGCGCCAAGGTCCTCCCGCGAAACTCGGATTTCCCGCCGGCTTTTCAAACTATGTTTGCATATCCCCGCCCCTCAGTCCGCCGCGGACCGTTCCCACAGCCCATTGGGCCGCTATCTCCTTACCTCAGTCCCAATCGTGGAGCAGGGCCGCGACTGGCTGACTTCTATTGGCTGTAGTGCGTTACGGTTGCCGGGGCGACAGGGGCTCTATTTGCATAGGCCACCTTGATTGGCTGCGAGAGAGAAACGTTTCTAGGAGGTGGGCCAAGCCGGCGCGTTTCTCCCACGGTAGGCCACGCCTGTCCGGGGCTCCGCCCTGTTCCCGCCTGCCCGCAGGGTGGGGGCTCCGCTCCCCGCAGGCTCAGTGCGGCCCTCGGCTGGAGCGCAAGTTTCGCTTTTGCAAATGGTCAAGGTGACCAAGGGGACAGTTTCGGTTATTCTCTTTGCTTTGACCAGTCGGTGTAATAGATGAACAGCGGCGGGAGATTCTCCCGAGTATGCACCCAAAGCCAGCTGGACCTGGGATCGCCTCCTGGCAGTGGCGGCTGAGCCCTTTAAATCGTGGGCTTCTCCCTTCCTGACATGCAGCCCGTGTGGCGGCGAGCGCCGATCCCAGGCCGAGCCTGATAGACAGAAGCATGTGGGCGAACAGAACCGTGGGGCGGAAGGTTCAACTGACGCTCTCGCGGGCGCCGCTCGGCTGACACTCCAGAGCATTCCCGGGGGCTTCCTTATTGGCCGGGATTGGGTTTAAGTAAAAATTCACTGAGTGAAATCTTATCACGAGTGTCGGTTTGAGCCCAGCAGACACCCCTACTGGCCCAGAAGCACCCAGGGCAGTTAATGGGGGCTGAGGACTGATCTGCGGGTTTCTAATCCCACAGCGCGTACCCGAAGAAGCGTGCGCTTCCCACGAGGAAAGCCTGCTCCCTGCAAAAGCTACCCTCCAGGGCACCAGCACTTTGCAACCTTGGTTTCCTAGCGCGTTCTCTGGTTAAAAGCAAACACGGTGCCCCAAACCTATACGTAACGATAAAAACTTTTTTTACTTAACTAGAAGTTGCCACCAAAAAAATATTAAATTATTGTCAAACTGACTTTTGTATTGGTGCAAGTATTCGTGGGTCTTGACACTGAAGATTGCTCTTGTGAGACTGAGCAGGAAAAGGATCCTGAGGAACGTGGGGAAAGGTGTACATCAGGTCGCCACTGACAGCTCCAGTCACTGAGCATTGCACAAAATAGCTACTGAACTGGTGCTTACTGGGTGATGAGGATCGCAGTACCTCAACCTCTTTTGCAAAACTTTATTATAATTATTACCATCGGCATTAATAATAATTTCCTGACTCATACACTCAGTTTTAGGAGACGCCGGACAAGGTTTGTCATTCAGGCTAGGAGTCCTTAATACTTCAGCCCCGTTACCTTGTTGGAAATAGGATGAGTGAAAAGCACTGTTAAACCTTGCACCTGGCTCAGGAATATGTTGGCTTTGCATTCAAGCTAGTTGAGGATTCATAGCCTAGTATCCAAACATCTATTGGCATTCTATCAAAAAATTGACACTATCTCTAGGGCAGATTCGGTGGTACTTAAAAGGCTCAGTTCCTGGTTGGACCAAAGACATAATGTATTAGCGACTTCCTTGATTTTGTTCCACCGGTGCTGCTGGGGCTGTGGGTCATTGCGGAGGAGACCCAGCACGGGGAGTACTTGGGTATTACCGCCGGTAGGACAGCACTGGCGGGTGCATTTGGTGGTGGGGGTGAGGGCTGTGGGGGCAGGGTGGTACAACATACACAGTCCTTACAGACCTGCAGTTTAAGACTAGAGACAAGCCTAGGACTAGAGACGTGCACAAAATCCCTGTGAGAGCTCCCCATGAGTGATTACAGTGAGATGAGTATGACACCATCATAACCGAGCACATGCCCACATCCAGGTGCACGCCCGTAATTGTGGTCTAGAGAGCTTCAAAACGCTGATTCTACTTTAAACAAGTTACATTTTTTAATGTAGGGTATTTGGTAGCAAACAAATGTTTTTACCTTTTATGTCTAGTGAACCCCAGGGTGAGGAGGTAAAGGGAAGAGTTTACCTTCCTAGAGGAAAATAGGATGCTACAATTTGAGGTTGACTATTAACTTGTGGCGAGGTAGAATGTTTTAGTAGAAAGGTAATGGATTTTGGAGCCAGAGTGATCTGGATTTAAATTCTCTCTCTGCCACTTCTTCACTATATAACTTTAATCTTTAAAAATCTGTTTTCTCATATGTTCAATGGGAACTCATATTGCCATAGCCATAGTACAAGGTTATGATGAAAAGAGGCCATGATGAATATAAAGAGCCAGGCATGTATCAGGAGATCAAGTGGTGGCTGTTGATTCTGTTTATTTGTGGAATATGCTTTGCAGCACTTTGCAGTCCCATCTGACTGCTAGCCTGCCTCTAATCTTCCTGCTGCCCCTTGATGTCCAATTGTGGCTAGTTAGCTCTGTCCCAAAGTAGGAGCACAATCATATTCCAGTTAGTAGGGATCACAGACTCTTGACTCCAAAGTTGAGGGTAATGAAGCCGGCTCCGCTGCTCATCCCACCCCGACCTGCTCACCTGTTAGTGGCCAGCTTCTGCCGGCTCCCAAGTCTGAGCCCTCCTGCCCTGCCCTTGAAGGTTAGACTACTCTAAGCAATGGAGCCAGGCTGCTCTTGCCCATCACCAACCCCCCTTTCCCTTGCTCTGCCAGTGGCCCAAGGCAGCTAGTTGTCCCAGAATTGGCCTGTATAGTTGGTTGAAGGTGGCCCTCTGAAATTCATGTCTCTCGTTCTAATCTCTAAACCTGTGATATGACCTTCTTTAGAAAAAGGGCCTTTGCAGATGGAATTAAGAATCCAAAGATAAAATCATTCCAGATTGTCTGGGTGGGTCCAAAATCCATTGCCCGGTGTCTTTACTAGAGACACCAAGAGTAGAGATACACAGGAGGAGAAGGCCAGGAGGGGAGAGGCGGAGGCTGGAATAAGAAGCTGCAACTCAAGGAATTCTGACAGCCGCAGAAGCTGGAGGAGGCAAGGAGCAGATGCTCCCCGGGAGCCCCTGGAGGGAGCACAGACCTGTCGGCACCTGGGTTTTGGACTTCCGGTCTCTAGACCTGTGATAGAATAAATTTCTGTTGTTTCAGCTACTTAGTTGGTGGTGTAATGTATTACGGCAGCCTTAGGAAATTAATACAGTCTCTTTAGCCTGCCTCCCTGAACTTCAAACCTCTTAGCTGTTACTTTCCTTGTTTTGTATTGCTGCCAAAATACCATAACGTGCTGGACACCGATGATGCTAATTGCCAACCTGAGCTATTGCCCCTGCTGAAGATGTTTCACAGCATGATTGTTGACCACCCACTACAGACTCCCCTAAGAAGCTTATAAAAATGCAGATTCGAGCCCTACCCCAGCAGAATGAATCAGATTTCCTTGAGACAGGGCCCAAGAATCTCATTTAACAAGTCCCTCCAGATAGTTCTTTAAGCACTGGACACTGAGGGCCAGAGTCAGCCGTATGAGTTGGGACTTCTTCCCATTATTTCCCATTGCTACAGCTAGGCTTGCCTCTCTGGTGCCTAAATGCCTCGATGGATGTTTCTAATCTTCTTCCTGCTCCTCATCCTGCCAGTTATAACAAGCTTTGAATTCCTATTCACACACATACACATAACCACATATGCCCATATACACATGTGCATATGTATGTACATACATATTATGTATATAAAGTTTGGTACTACTATTATAATCTCTAAAAGTCTTCACTTTCAATTTCAGAATACAATTTTGCCAACATCCATAAGTTTTATATAAATAAATATCTCCCAAGAAATAATACTATTAAACAAGTTATGGGAATTCAATATTACATGTTTAGAAAAATTATAGGTTTAGGAGATTAACTGCTCACAAGCCCAGAAAGTCTTTGGAACATGTAAAGTTTAAAATGTGCCTCTAATATAGTTCAGCCAAATCTGGTTACCATATTGGATTTAGGGTATACAGTTTAAATGTTAGGGTCTGGAGAAGACGGGTTTAAGAGTTTAAGGCTTTTCATCCCAAGGGTAGCCCCACCCACGGCAGATCAGGGGGTTAACCCAGAGGCTGCTCCCTGCGCACGGTTGACAGGCACAGACAAACGAGACAGGTACAGAGGCTTGGAGGCACGAAGGGGCCTTGTCCTTGCGCTGCTGGCCTGCGACCCCCGCCAGTGCCCTAGGCCATCCCGATGGTCGCCCTGCACATGGCAGCTCAGGGGATTAACTCAGAGGCTGCTCCCTGTGCACAGTTAACTTACAAACAGTGGAGACAGGCAAGGTGACCGGCAAGCAGGAGGTGACTCTGTTCTCCCAGCTGACACACACGCCACTCACCAGCGACCACTCCTATCATCATGAAAAGGCAGAATAACCTTGTTCAACCCCAAATCCCTCAAACACCAGAAAGAGGGCTTGGTGAGACTGAAATCACGAATCTTCCTGAAAAAGAATTCAAAATAAAAGTAATAAGCATGATGATGGAGCTAAAGAGAAATATTCAAGAGCTAAGGATGAATTCAGAAGGGAGATAACAGAAATGAAACAAACAATGGAAGGATTTAAGAGCAGACTGGATGAAGTCGAAAAGACTGTTAATGGAATAGAATCAGACGAGAG